TTAAATAACCATAGCTTGCTCAATTTTCAACCAATTTTCAAACGGTTTGGTTTTTTATAAACATCAAAGATGTATTTATGATAATGCATACTTATAATCATGGACTTTCTTATGAAAATAACATTAAGCAGATAAAGCAATAGCTATACACACACACACAAGGTATTTATATTACATATTTGCCGGTGTATATATATATTTCCATTTATTTTATTATATTGTTAATATTTAAAATAAATTATAAAATTAAAAATATATTTATATTTTATATATAAAAATCGGNTGTGTGCCTTGGAAGTCTTATTCCATAGGGCAAATCATTGTTCCATAATGTATTTCTAATTCCAGTGGTGGCTATTCTGTTTCCATTCAGACTGTAACTTTACATTTAAATGAGGATGTAAGGCTTCTGATTAACATGCCTCATGAGTTGCTTGTGAAGCGCAAGGGGCAAATAATGCATCACAACCAAGCACACCAATGGGAATATGCTGCACACAGATGATCAGATGTGCTTTCAAATCCAAAATTGCCTTCTGCATTTCACGTCCCTAAGTGCTTTATAGTAAAGTAAAAACCCATAAGCCGTGCGACGAGACGAGCACAGTGTCCCAGTTTAGAATTACAGTGGTGATGCTCTACTTTGTTATTAAGGCTTACATTTGACTTTCATCTCCTCTGCTGCAGACAACCCCAGCCTCCTCAGCCATGTTCCTGTTACCGTCCAGGTGCTGGATGTGAACGACAATCCGCCAGAAATAGCTACAGACGAGGAGGTCATTGTGTGTGAGAGCTCCAGGCCGGGACAGGTGAGCATCTAGGATTCAACTAGAACAATCTGCAACCACTATCTCTCCTCCCTTATCTCTCCACGCATTTTCAAATCTGTCCACCGCTGTGCTGTTACCTCATTCTCCTCCCTGCCTGCATGCATTCTCCTCTAAACTAATATTTCCTTGGGTAGTTTGGCCCCTCACAGAGCTGAGCAGTAAGAAACAGCAAAGGCGTGTGAGCGAGCTGCTTAATCATCCAAAATGAGTATCTCAGCAGCAAACCATGACAGCATTAAGTCGGAACTCATTCCAATTTGCTCTCAGTAGTGTTTGATTCATTCAAATTAGGAAGGTTTTTGAGATATAGAGCAATCAGCAGCGTGAAAATGGCTAAAAAGGCGCTTTGGCAAAGGATGATGGAGTAAAGGCACAACTAAAATCATGTTTGATAGCATTTTTTAAAGCTAGTGAAGGAAAAGTTTGAATTAAGGTTTGCATTACATTTGAATTAAGGTTGCATTATAGCCGCAGGGTTCTTGGCCCATGAGGGATGTGTGGGAAGAATTCTAACGTCTGTAATGAGACAGTGGCAAACAGCCATTTAACTGACAACCTATGTGAAAAAATAGAGCTGCTAATTGATGTTTGAGCATCTGTTTGCATTTGACACCAATGTATCGTATAACCCTAACCCTTAAACAATGATGTTACTGGCAATGGGAATGTTGTTTCGGAGTATTCATACGTTGCCCTATTTTAAATGTGGCCGGTGCCAATGTTAATAGCATGTTAACATCTAATAGAACACCAGGTGGTGCGTGGATGTGTCTGAATCAAATGTGTAATCACACTGATATGTGCTAGCTAGAGGTGTACAGACACGTCTTTATACACATATTTGTAAATTATTTTGTTAAACCAATAAAATCACCCGTCTGTGTTTCTTCACCTGAAGTGGGTGTGGTTTATATTGGCACGTCATACGGTTCATTTCTTAATTCATGTTTTAGAGATAGGAAACAGTTCTCTAAGCTCACAGATTTCTCAAATGAGACCGAGGACACATTAAACTGTCATTACGCTCTAAACCAAAACTTACATTATGCAGAACTTTGCAACCACTCAGAAGCCAACCATGGGTGTTGTATCCTCAGGCAAGCATTTAAAACCAGTATTGCTTCCTTTCTTTCCAGACATCCCATTATCGTGAGTTCAAAGACTAATCAAGAGGTAGTTAGCTTTATACATTTATGTAAAAAACAAATTCACTTTGAATCCACACTAGAAGAAAGATAACTGTCATACTCAGCCAAAAGCATCCACAAAGGGCATCCTAATACATCAGAGTGAAAGACAGAAGCTTGTGCAGGTATAGTAGCAGCACAACAACAACACCGCAAATCTCACATTGGAGATGAAAACCCTCCTTTAAAACAGAGGCTATTGTGTCATTTTTCTCTCAAGGCTGGCTCCCTTTCCCACTGTCACTTTGAGGTTTACCAATTAAGAACTACAATCTGACACAAGTGGCAGCGAGGTTGCCGTGAAAGCACTTCTGTCATTTTTAGATGCAAGCCTACACAAGTCCAATTGTTCAGAAATCTGAGTGTTGCAACGAGAAAATGACACAAGACCAGGTGTCTGTAGGTTAAAGCAGTGTTTTTCAAAGTGGGGGCCCCGACCCCCCGGGGGGCCGCCAGGGGGCGTCAAGGGGGGGGTCACGCAAAGTTTGAGGGAAAGGGGAATTTTTTTTTTTTTTAAAGTTACATTTTTTTTATTTTTAGATTTTATTAATAACTGCATATCTATCAATCTATGTATCCTTTGATGCCAATCTTTTAATATGTTTTACTTATTCATATATAGATATATTTTTTTTTTTAAATCACACGACCGCCCTTCAAGCCAATCAGAATCGAGCTGCCGCTACTGAGAGTGAAACTGAGTATCTGCTCAGCTTTTGGAGCAAGTGAGAGCTAGTGAATATTTCGCTCTGCAGCTGGATGAGAGCACAGATGTAGCAAATATTGATGTTTATATATATGAATATAAATATGTTTATTGTTAATATTACTGTTGAATATTATATATAATACTATTAAGGCATAAGTAGCTTTCAAAAATAATAAAAATATATGTTAATTGTTCATATTAATGTTCAAAATTACGGTATATAATATTATAAAAATGCTTTAAATTTTTTTTTACTGTTGATATTACTGTTTAATATTGTGTTTAGAATGTTTATAACAGAAGACACAATGAATGTAATGAATGACAAACAAAAGATAAATACAAAAAATGTTTAGAAGAATAACTGATTATTAATTATTAATACAAATATATATTAAGAAAATGTATTAAGCTGTATGATTAATTTGTCATATTCTCCATCATACTGTAATGTACTCATCATTAAAAAAAAAAAAAATTGCAACAGGGGGGTCCCAGCCAGACGATAATGCTATCCTTGTCCTGGTCCTTGGTCCTTGGTCCTTGGCATTGCATCCTTGCATGGCATTCATCCTTGGCATGGCAAAGTTTGGGAACCCATGGGTTAAAGGACCTCTGACCAATTATGAGCATGCGTCAGACAATAAATCAACTCCTTGTCCTGAATGCAATCAGTGACAAGTGTTCCACTAATTAAATGTGTTTCTGAACAACAGGTGATCCAGACCGTCACTGCGGTGGATAAGGATGACTTTGCCAATGGACAGCGCTTCTCCTTCGCTTTGCCCAGCCAACTGCCGGTTAATCCCAACTTCACCCTGAAGGACAACGAAGGTAATCAAAGTAATCAATATGTTTGTTTGCATTTCTTATGAGTTTTGCACTGTGCCTCCAGGGCAGGGCTTCACACTCATTGCTCACATTTCAAGTTCCAATAAGCTGTACTGATTTCCCTCATACCTTCGAGGTGCAATGGAAATATGTCAACCGGTGGACATGTGGAGATTCAAATGCCACCGGGACCTACTCAAAGTCGGGTCTCGTGACACATAAGAGTCATAGAAGTTTTGGCGTGTTTGCTCATCGTGTTGTCAAATGGATTACTCCCTCTTTTACTCCCCCACTCCGGCGTGCCTTATTTTGTGCCGGCGCAAGGCCAACAGTAGATGTTACCATGGCAACCGTCTCAGTCTCAGGTGAATTCTCTCGCCGCTAAGATGGTCTGCAATCACGGGGCTTTTTGAAAGCTCTCAGCCAGAAGATCTCACAGATGCCCACTGAGAGGAGGAGTACACATCGCTCAGGTCTGTGAGGCGGAGAGAGAGGAAGGGAGCGCGAGAGAGATCAAAAAAATCAATTTGATAATAGGAGATAAGTCTGTTTTAGCCCTTGGTCCAGTTGCTTCCCACCAAAAGAAGACTTTACCTTGCCTTCTTCGACCATATTGAGTTAAGTCTGGCTGCGTTCATATAAGTGGCACTCAGAGACTTCCCTCACCTCCTGCCCACCTTTCGTCTTGAGGGGCGGAGAAATGTAAACAAAGCAAATATCGACTTCTACAATGCTGCCTCAAAGACCCACATCTCCTGCAGGACAAAACATTATCATATGAGAGGGTTAAATATGCTATGAATAGATAATTCAGCAGCAGTTTGCTTCTGTTTAACATGAAACCCAGTAGAACACACCCAATACATAGAAGTGTGATGGGATTCTTGTGAAGAGGAGTGGAATATTTGGTGTTCTTTTTGGGGGTGTTTTTAGGCTTCGTATAAGACCTGGAGCCAAATTGACACAATTTATTTCCCAGCTATTGGAGATCTGCTATTTTGGCATCTCTTTCAGGGTTGTGAAAAACACGTGTTAATATTGTATATCTTTCTCGCTTGGTTTCCCTCGGGGTGTTGTTAAGATATACCTCCACTATTGCATGCAGAACATCTTTCACTGATTTGTCATATGCTGTGTTAGGAAATCACAGTGTGGAAAGTTAATAGAAGTTATCAATGAAAAAGTACTTGTTAACCAACAACAACCTGGCCATGTTGATTCAGAGCTGTTGCTCCTTGTTTGTTTTGCTTTCTGGATAGTAATGTGCTGTTTACACGAGAACGCAAACGGTTGTATCCGCTACTTTTCTTTTTCGTATAGCCCGTTCGTTCACACGAGGCCGTAACGGAAACGTGGAAACGGACCCCGCAAACGATAACGGGTCACAAGGTGGATAGATCTGCAAACGGAACGCTCTGGGGGGCCAAACGGCTCTGTGTGTACGTCCTATACGATCATTTCCTGATAACGATGAAGCCATAGCCCCACCTCTCCCCACCTCTGCTGCTCACTGCTGTAGGATGGTCAGTAGCTACTGCTACTGCTACTGACCATGCTACAGATGTTAGTGCAACATCTACAGCTACTGTACCACAACCATCAGCAACAAGTGGACATGGAGAATTACATGAACTACATATTGCTAAATCCACCGCGGGGCATAAACAGAAGGGCAACCATGCTTGGGGGGTCTTCTTCACTGCTTTTGGTGTATTTTGTGGCAGAAGTACAGCATCACTTACAGGCCCGGCATATGTACTACAGCGTCTCCAGCGCTCCCGAGCGGTCTCGTGTGAACGGAAGACTTTTTTATATCGTATGCGTTTGCGTGTAAATGGGGTCTAAGATGTTTGCCGGGTTAGGGTTATTTTGGCCGTTATAAAGTTGGAAATTCAATTGAAATAATGTCCTCCATGGCGGTCATTCCCAGAACTTTCAATCAGAAGTTTGTGGGTTTGATCCCAGCCCCTGCAGTCAACATGGTTATGCATCCTTGGGCAAGATACTTGAAAATCTCAATGGCATTGCCAACTGTGTGAATGTTAGCTTCCCTGAGAGAGTGGCACATTGCGCTGTATGAAAATGGGGTGTGATGGGTGAATGATGGCTTGTAAATGTAAAGCATTTATAGGGGTTGTAAAGACTGGATAAAGTGCTACATAAATACTGTCAATTTACCATTTACTCTGTCAAAAGAGCCATCTGCTGCAAAATATTCCCAAAGCATTTGGGAGGAAACTTTTCTTTCTTGAAGGAGTGATAGAAGTTTTTTTTGTTCATCGTGTTTAAGTAATGGTGCCTTTCAGTTTGGATGAATATCATCCCACAAGATGTAGTTTTTCTCAAAATGTATCTATGATATAATCCCATGTGGGATGGACGATGATGTGTCATTACACGGATATAAGAAATTGTTCAAACTTTTTGAATTTCCAAGGGAGAACTTAGAAAGAAAAGTGAAGTTTAAGAATGATATTGTGGTCTAAATTATTCCCTTAAGGATAAGCTGTCCTTCTGGAATAAATAGGCCATGTAACTAACAGTTTTTACTCTCTGTTTCTTCACAAGGCATACTTTATTTAACCAAGAGAGCTGTTAGAGAGCATGTTCTGATTTGGAGCCAGAGCCGGGCGGTAAGTTGACCACATGAAAGCCTCCATTTTGTTCTGTTGACCACAGAGTGAGCTGCACTGGAGCAGTTAAATGTCTTGATCAACGACACTCTTTAAGCTGCTTTTACACAAGGAAAGTGGGTTCTGCTTCAAAAACGACACTCTATCAAACACACGTGTACTTTATGTTACATTCAGCAGTTTATGTATAAAAGAAAGTGCAATTCTTGAGTAAAAACATTATATTACAGTGATTACCTTGTTGCAGTGGTGCAGCAATGAGTCATGTTAAACCCCATGCCCCCGGGGGCGGGTGCAAAACACAACAATATTCATGAAACTGTGTCTCAGGGCTTCTTAACATTTAACAACCTATCAGTGGCGAACCGTAAGGGCCTTCAAGGTATTTAATTATATAAATAAAATGTATGTAAAATGAATAAATGAGAAACGTATCTGTGTTGTTGATCTGTAATATTACAGTGTTGCGTTGATTTTGGTGTGTGTGTCTACAGAAGGTCCAGTTGTGATAGACACGGTTCGCCACTGCAACCTATTCATGTGTCATACCCACTTAACGGGAAGAAACTCAGCTAACTGACGATATGAACCATTTTTACAAAAAACATTTATGTCAATAGGAGTAGTTTTCATATAGAGTGTATGGGAGCTTCCGGTTTTGGGCATGCTGGCTGCGCATCACTCTCATTCACCAATGGTAATGTTTAGATGGATTTAGGAACTTCCCCTCGATTATATTGGCTCTAACGGTTTAAAAGTGGTGTCAATCACCAAAATCGACTGATGGGTTCCAGAGATATGGTAAATACACCCAAATGACCCCAGAAGTGGGTTTTTTTTTCTAAACCTCTCTAAAAAGGTCAGATTTAACTTGTTTTGCATCAATCTTGATACAGGGTACTCATTATATGTTATAGTTTGGATTCCTAAAGCTTTTAGTCTCCGATTCCCATCATTCAAGGGTGGTTTTCACTATAAGTAATGTTTTTTTTTTTTGGACGGAAACTATAATTTAAATGTTTTTACTATGTTCAATCTGAATTTACTTTAAAATAAAAACATCTATATTCATTCTGACGTTTCTACATCCAACTCACAGGCATATCATTGCTTTGAGAAAAAAGATGATTAATTTACCCCTTTTAGAAGTGAAGATATAGTCATTTGTCCTGGGCATGTCATTTTCGAGCCTGAGACCTGAAAAACAGGCTTGGGGTTTAACAGGTTAAAAACAAGAAATTAGCATTGTACTAGTTCCGGTTTAACTTTATTTTTGGTTAGTCTAAAATACTGTTGTACATATGTAGTATAGCCACAGTCATGAATTTCAGAAGCTTTAATGTGTCACAAACACAGTAGTTGCCAAAAAGTGTCTAAATGAGTCTACGAAACGTCATCACGCCAAACATTAGCCGCCCTTAGCTTCGGCGGTGAAGTCATGAGGTCATGTAGTTTCTATGTATTTCTTGTCCACCAACAATAATTAGTAATTACTTGTCTCTAAGTTTCTCTTAGCCTATCCATACTTTTCCAAACACCAAAATCCCCCTGAATTTGAAGCTGCTGCCATCTCCAGTCACTTGGTGCCCACATTTGCATTCACACTCCAAAGAGGTGTCGGAGTCATATAGCGTTCGGCTGCACTTGGGTATGAAAAGTTGCTGTGTTCACAATATATTTGTGGGAGAGAGCGAGAGAGAGGAACACAATGTACCATACTGTTGACTCCTGTGTCTGATAATTAAAGTAAGCTCTTCACACTCAGAGCTGCTTCTTTCTTTGTAGCGGACCAACAGTTGGTAGCTGCTCTGTGCCAGAGCCTAATACCTCCCTCTGTTGTTGTGCAACTGACGAAAATCCCTCTGTCACTCACACCACTAACTCTCTCATGACCTCCTTTCCTGCTCACTTCACAGTAAGCTCACAATGGGACTCATGGAACTTGGAGTTGGGTTGCTTTGTCCACAGTTTTTGCAGAAGGAAATACATATTTGGTAGTTTAAGAAAGTAATGACTATTATAGGAACTAGGGCTGTTTCCAAGGTTATACATAGGTCCTTACCATTCTCCTAAACATGATATCTCAGGGACACCTGCAAGAAAATGTCTGAGAATTTAGCTTGACACACATCCACCTGACTCAAGAAAATATAAATAATTTGATGTAGAAAGGGGGCCTCCCAAAATGCATGTTTAGCCAAAACTAATAATAATAATAATAATGATGCATTTTATTTATGGGCGCCTTTCAAAGCTCTCAAGGACACCTTACAGAGCATAATTAAAACAAGCAACAAAGAAGATCACACAGTAATACAAGACTTAAAACAAATACTTAAAAACAACAATCAGTTTAGAAAAATTATTAAGATATTGAATATGCCAGTTTAAAAAGGTGTGTTTTCAGCCTGGATTTGAAAGTTGATAGTGAGTCCATATTGCAGATGTCTTGTGGTAGAGAGTTCCAGAGACGGGGTGCAGAGT